TTTGAAAATAAAAGTTGAAATTTTATATTCTCATTTTGGATTTTGAAATCTCACTACCGTCAATACCACAGTTTGAAAATAAAAGTTTGGATTTTTTTTTGGTTTTTTAATTTTGAAATCTCACTACCGTCAATACCACAGTTTGAAAATAAAAGTTTGAATTTTTTTTTGATTTTTAATTTTCAAATCTCACTACCGCCAATACCACAGGTTAAAAATTAAAGTTTAAATTTTATATTTTCACTTTGGATTTTGAAATCTCACTTTTTATTTTTTTCATGAATCTCACTACCTTAGAACTTGACACTTTATACTTTTATTTTATAAAACTGGGGCATTTTATACCTACAGAACTTACTTTACCTCCCTTAGAACAATTAAGTAAAATAACGACCCGCTCTGAAGTAAAAAAAATTCCCTGAAAAGTAGGTAAAATAATTAATTTATAAGCTTAAACAAGAGCATACAAAATTAAGTGTTTGTGAGAAAATATTTTAAAAACCTCCAAAAACAAAGGTCTGTGGGAATATTTCCCCCCAATTCTTAAAAAAGAAGAAGGAAAGTTACATATTTATTGTTAACATTACATTTATTATATAACTGGTGGTAAATTATTATTGTAAAGTATTAGGAATAGTTATTTGTACTGGAATACACGTATTAGGAATAGTTATTTGTACTGGAATACAAGTATTAGGAATATATATTTGTACAAGAATACAAATATTAGGAATAGTTATTTGTACTGGAATACAAGTCTTAGGAATAGTTATTTGTACTGGAATACAAGTATTAGGAATAGTTATTTGTGCTGGAATACAAGTATTAGGAATAGTTATTTGTACTGGAATACAAGTATTAGGAATATTTATTTGTACTGGAATACAAGTATTAGGAATAGTTATTCGTACTGGAATACAAGTATTCGGAATAGTTATTTGTACTGGAATACAAGTATAAGGAATAGCTAGATGTACAGGAATAAAAGTATTAGGAATAGTTATTTGTAGTGAAATACAAATATTAGGAATAGCTAGTTGTACAGGAATAAAAGTATTAGGAATAGTTATTTGTACTAGAATAAAAGTGTTAGGAATAGTCATTTGTACAGGAAAAACGTATTAGGAATAGTTATTTTTACTGGAATACAAGTATTAGGAAAAGTTATTAGGAATATTTATTTGTACTGGAATACAAGTATTAGGAATAGTTATTTGTACTGGAATGCAAGTATTAGGAATAGTTATTCGTACTGGAATAAAAGTATTAGGAATATTTATTTGTACTGGAATACAAGTATTAGGAATATTTATTTGTACTGGAATACAAGTATAACTAGAGGAGCTATGTGTTTAAAATTAGAGGAGCTATGTGTTCAAAACTAGAGGAGCTGTGTGTTCAAAATTAAAGGAGCTATGTGTATAATAGTTATTTGTACTGGAATGCAAGTATTAGGAATAGTTATTTGTGCTGGAATACAAGTATTAGGAATATTTATTTGTACTGGAATACAAGTATTCGGAATAGTTATTTGTACTGGAATACAAGTATTAGAAATAGTTATTTGTACTGGAATACAAGTATTAGGAATATTTATTTGTATTGGAATACAAGTATTAGGAATAGTTATTTGTACTGGAATACAAGTATTAGGAATAGGTATTTGTACAGGAATAAAAGTATTAGGAATAGTTATTTGTACTGGAATAAAAGTGGAAACCAGAAAACATGTATTCTTTATTCTTTTTTATTTTTTTATAACGGCCCCCCCTGCATCCGTCCGGAAAAAAAAAATAAAAAAGTGCGAAAGGAAATTGGGAAAATGTGGAATATTTTTGTTGCTTACAGGGAAACTAAATTGGGATCTAGATTTTAGCTAAGTGCTTTTAATATTCAAGGTTACCCACAAAGCAGAAGACTTCACAGACCAAAACTAGAGGATCTATGTGTTGAAAATTAGAGGAGCTATGTGTTCAAAACTAGAGGATCTATGTGTTTAAAATTAGAGGAGCTATGTGTTCAAAACTAGGGGATCTATGTGTTCAAAACTAGAGGATCTATGTGTTCAAAACTAGAGGATCTATGTGTTTAAAACTAGAGGAGCTATGTGTTTAAAACTAGAGGAGCTATGTGTTAAAATTAGAGGAGCTATGTGTTCAAAACTAGAGGATCTATGTGTTTAAAACTAGAGGAGCTATGTGTTCAAAACTAGAGGATCTATGTGTTCAAAACTAGAGGATCTATGTGTTTAAAATTAGAGGAGCTATGTGTTCAAAACTAGAGGATCTATGTGTTCAAAACTAGAGGATCTATGTGTTTAAAATTTCAGGAGCTATGTGTTCAAAACTAGACCAGCTATGTGTACTAAACTAGAGGAGCTATGTGTTCGAAACTTGAGGATCTATGTGTTCAAAACTAGAGGAGCTATGTGTTCAAAATTAGAGGAGCTATGTGTTCAAAACTAGAGCAGCTATGAGTTTAAAATTAGAGGAGCTATATGTTCAAAACTAGAGGAGCTATGTGTTCAAAACTAGAGGATCTATATGTTCAGAACTAGAGGAGCTATGTGTTCAAAACTAGAGGAGCTATGTGTTCAAAACAAGAGGATCTATGTGTTCAAAATTAGAGGATCTATGTGTTTTAAGTTAGAGGATCTATGTGTTCAAAAAGTCGTTCCAGTTAAGTTTTAAATGTCCGATAAACTAACAGGAAAAAGTATTAATCTGAAATAGTTGATTACAATTGCTTCTCCTACATTTGTATTATCCGTAATTATTTGTTTTATATCCATCTTCAAAACAGATGAATGGAAAAAGCAATGACTATAGCAAATGGTTTTAAAATATATTTCAAGAAATTAGTTGAAGACGACTTTCCTTTATTTTTACATTTTGGGCCATTTTACATTTTTGCCAGTGTTATTTTATCTTTACGACTAACATTCCCATCATATTATTTAGGATCACTATTCACTTAACAGGCCCTTATGTGGCACCGCTATCTACAAGAGGGGACGAGCACTGCGGCCGGGACAGGCTAAGACAATTTTTCAAGTTTAAAAGGAGTGTTCGCGAAAAATTAAAGAGGGTAATAGGCTTACGGCGAAAAATTATCGATAGTGATCGCTACTAATCTTATTTCTTTCTAGTGCTTCTATAAGGAGAAAATTGCTAAAAATGACTCGTACCGAAGAACGTAGCGTCTATACAAAATCAGAAAGTTACAATATACGATTCGGATCGTAAAAAAAATCAATTTAATTCCAAACAAATTATTCAGATATTATATTTTTGATTTTGTTTTTTAAAATAATATTTAAATTTAAACTTATTTTCAAGGCTGGCGCTGGATTTTCGAACATTCCTGGAAAATATGAAAACGTCGTCTTCATTATCAAAAATCCTTGAAACAGGAATAAATGTTTTCAAAAGTAACTCTCAAATCATAAGAAAAAAATGAAATATTAACTATTATATACGAATGCGTCGAAAAATTATCGATGATAATATAATGTAATAACTAAATGATTTGTTGGGAATTAAATTGACTTTTTACGTTCTTCGGTTAGTAGCGATGACCATCGATAATTTTTCGCCGTAACCCTGTACCCCGTTTCATTTTTCGATATCATTCCCTTTAAATAAAAGTCACAACACACCGTAACTTGTCAGGGTGAGTAAGAATAGTGTTATTCAGTAAATTTATATATAAGTAAGTAATAACAAATCATAATATGAAATTTCCCCCCAAGTAAAACAATACTCACATGCAGAGAAACCACATTTGTATGTGTTTGCAAAACTTGAGCCGTTCTTAGTTTGTTGGGAGGAATGTATACAGACTAATGGTGCTGCTTAGGTGGAGTTTATCTATATAACTTACAGAAACTTCTGTATAACGTGTTCGAGTTTCTAATGTATCTTCATTGATTCCAAATGTATCTTCATTGATTCCAAATGTTTCTTCATTGATTCCAAACTATGTGTTCCTGGCCTATCTATCTTGATTCTACCAAATAGTTTGGGTTCTTTAATCTAACTTGATTCCATCAAATTATCTGGGTTCCTGGTCTATCTAACTTGATTCCACTAAATGATGTGGGTTCCTGGTTTATCTACCTTGATTCTACCAAAGTATTTTGGTTCCTGGTCTATCTTCCTTGATTCTACAATATTATGTAGGTTCATGGTAAATATACCTTGATTCCGCCAAAATATGTGGGTTCCTGGTCTATCTACCTTGATTCCACCAAATTATGTGGGTTCCTGGTCTATCTACCTTGATTCGACCATATTAAGTGGGTTCCTGGTCTATCTACCTTGATTCTACAATATTGTGTAGGTTCTCTCTCCTCCCTCTCTTCTTTGTGAAGAAGAAACAAGTTCACCCACTCACCCATCCAATAATCCAACCTTCCATCCATCCCATACTCTAACCTTTCATCCATCCCATACTCTAACCTTTCATCCATCCGATACTATAACCTTTCATCCATCCAATGCTTTAACCTTTCATCCATCCCATACTCTAACTTTCATGCGTTCCATACTTAAACCTTTCATCCTTCAATACTCTAACCTTTCATTCGTCCCATACTCTAACCTTTCATCCGTCCCATACTTTAACCTTTCATCCGTCCCATACTCTAACCTGTCATCCGTCCCATACTCTAACCTTTCATCTATCCAATACTTTAACTTTCATCCGTTCCATACTTCAACCTTTCATCCTTCCCATACTCTAACCTTTCATCCGTCCCATACTTTAACCTTTCATCCGTCCCATTCTCTAACCTTTCATCCGTCCCATGCTCTAACCTTTCATCCATCCCATACTCTAACCTTTCATCCGTCCCATACTCTAACCTAAATGACATTTTGGAAAAGGGGAAATTTTTCCAAATTGCCTCTGTTTTACTCTGAAAATTTCCTTTTTACAAAACTCATTGTGCCCCCCCCCCCCTCTATTTGCACTTCTGTATAAGAATATATACATACAGTCTTCGTCGCATATCAATACAATAAAAACGACTTTTGATTTAATTTTTTATATCTACCAAGGTTTTAAACAGCATGGATACTCAAAACACGTATAACATGGAAAAAAGCAAAATGGCAACAACTTCTCTTTGTTTCCTTGTAAAACTTCTAAATTAGAAAAGTTTGTTAGAAATAAAAACTTAAATAAAGAAGTAGTCTTCATTGAATTGATATAAACGCTGATTACTATGGAAAAGATAAACGGATAAATAAATAAATAAGTAAAGCTGTTAAGTTAAGTTAAGATATTAAGTTAAGTTAAGATGTTAAGTTAAGTTAAGATATTAAGTTAAGTTAAGATGTTAAGTTAAGTTAAGTTGTAAAGTTAACTTGGAAACCCTACTTTGACTGGCAATCTAAACTTTCGTTTATAAAAGTCTACCTTCTAAACTTAGAATTCAAAACCAAGGTGAAAAAATTCCTGTGGTTCTACCAATCGAAATTTGAGGCAAATCGGTCAAGGGATTCCTGAGAAGCAGATCTTACTACTTCATATCGACGAAAATGGAATTGTTTGTAGAATTTTATAAATATATTCACAGTGGAGCTGAAGGAAATCAAGACTTGATTTCCTTCAGCTCCACTGTATATTGTATAGTGTAAAAAAGACAGGAACTAGTTATAAATAAACAATGGAAAGATTTGAATTGGATAAATGTTGTATTTGATAAAAATGATTCATTCAAATTAATCCGGTAATCTGTATCAACGGCCCCAATCCTAACTGAGATCTAGGCAACTCTGAAAGTTAGTCAACACATGTTAGACAGACTATAGACTTTAAAGTGTAGGATGGTAGGATGGTAGGATGGTAGGATAGTAGGATGGTAGGATGGTAGGATGGTAGGATGGTAGGATGGTAGGATGGTAGGATGGTAGGATGGTAGGATGTTTGTGCTTACTCTCCTTAATGGTCTGAATACCAAAGCTCTCACTTAGATCTTGAATTAGTTGCTCCTGAGCAGTCAAGGAGTGAACATGGCCCGACTAACTATACTGGTAAATATCTATGATAGATAGATAGTAAGATACAGGTGTTTGTTAAGGAATTGTTTGTTTGTCACACACATGCAGATAAAAGTAGTGTTGTTAATAGTGCTGGAAAGTGAAGGAAAAATTAAATTTTTCTATTGTTTTAATTATTTTATGTTATAGTCTAAATACCCAGATGTTCCATGATATATTGATATAATGTATCAAAGTCTAATTTTAGATATGAATTGTTGCATATAGATTCATATTTTATAACAACTCAATGCATGGCATGTTATGTAGGATTTAATAAACTTAATGGGGTAACCCTTTGATATTAATTTGAAGTTTAGACTCTTTGATTTAAAATAATTCATTGTTGGAATTATCTAAGGTCTTCGACATTGTGTAGCAAAGATTCGAAAATCAGAGTTTGTGCCAGAGATACTCAATTCCTCAACAGATATGTGCTCATCTTTTAAAGAAAGTGACCGGCAATGTATGGTATTTGACCTGAGATTGCAGTATTATAATTGAGAAATTTTTCAGAATTAATTTGAGACCTATCAGACATTTTTACGGTGCACATTTGTTCAGCACGAGCGCTTATTCAATCTTTAAAATCCTAATAAATTGTCAATTTTTGAGGGATGATTTAGAGAATTTATTTAATTTACATTATTCAATGACGCCCACGAAAATGTAACAAAAAATTCTATAGTAACTAGAATAAGTTGTTTAGGAACAGGTTGAGAAATTAAAAAATAACTCTTATCAGCGAAAATAAGTAATTTTATTCTGTTATTGGTTTCTGAAATGTCTCGATGTTCAAAACCATTTTCTGTTGATTTCCTGGAATTTTTATTGAAAAGACACCATTTGAAGAAATCTGCGACTAAATTCGTAAAGAATAAAAAATTCAACATAATGATGAAAAAGAAACAATAGATTCTAACACTAATTTATTGATAATTTTCTAATGAGAAATATGTTCCTAAACATCTAACTAGTTTATTGAAGGAATTTTGTTATAATATTGAATTTGCTCTCTTGTTAAACAAATGAGCACGGTAAAAACGTTTGATAGGTCTCAAATGAATCCTATAAAATTTCTCAATAATACTGCAATCTCTGTTTTCAACTACCATACATTGCCAGTGGTGTCACTACCTTTACGTAAGAAGACAAAGATAACTTGTTACTGTTTATCAGATAAACTGTTTACGGGTTCTGAGGCCGAATTTAAAGAATTTGATCCGCGGTTTAAATTTAAGCAAAGGTTTAATTATGGTTAGTTTCACTTAAAATTGTATCAAATGTTTTAAGATTTAAGCCGGCGCTCAATTTAAACCGGGTTTTGACGGATTTAAGCCGGAGAGAATCAGGCATGAATGGAGGGTAACTTTGTAATTATTCGACACTCCCTTTAACGTAAAATAAAAGATTGTAGTTTAATTTAATGTTGGTATTGTGCGTCAGTTATAGTTTAGTCCCTAATAGTTATTAATGGGTTTTTATAACTCATTCCTGCCAAATCTATATCTGTAAATCTGCCATATCTAGATCTGTAAAGAAATAAAAATCATGGCAAAAAATGTTAAAAGTTTGAAGAAGATTTTTTAACTTTTCTCAAGTGGACATTTTTTCCCCCCAAAATAAATAAACTGGTTCGTTCGGTCAGGTAGGTTGGGTAGATCGTGTAGGTTGGGTAGATCGTGTAGGTTGGGTAGATCGTGTAGGTCGGATAGGTCGGGTAGCTCGGGTAGGTCGGATAGGTCGGGTAGGTCGGGTAGGTCGGATAGGTCGGGTAGGTCGGATAGGTCGGGTAGGTCAGGCAGGTTGGGTTGGTTGTGTAGGATGGGTAGATCGAGTAGGTCGGATAGGTCGGGTAGGTTTTAAGGTTGAATATCACTTTTTCGACCAGTGTGTCGCATTTTGATAAAAGTATATTTTTTGATTTTCAGGTTCTAAATTTGTTTACCATACACCTGGGTATTTGTTTCAAGGCTCAATATCATATCCAGTCTGATTTAGGAACATAGGATTATTAAATTAACCTTCAAAAATAACATTTTAATTTAAAATATATTAACTTTTATATCGTAGATTGTATTGCATGTTTCATAGCATTATTACTATTTAACTTTTTGTTAACACTTGATGTTTTTTTTTCATGGTTTTACATTTTTTTTAACTCCCCCCCCTCCTCCTTCTATACTTGTTAATAATCCTTTGTGTTCAGGCGAAATCAAGTTTTTTAAATATTCCACCCACGGTGGACAATATAGGAATTCAAAATCAATGCTGAAAATTATCTTTAGATGATTATTAATTATTATCATCTTTATTAGAATGATTATCAATTATTATAATCTTTATTATTCATTATTCATTATTTATATGCATGCCACTAACAGCTACAAAGCAAAAAAGTTGAGATTGGAATGTTAAAAACAGATGTCGGATTCACAACGGTACCCTTGAAATCTTTATCTGATTTAGAATGTGAAAGATATCGTTATTTTTCTAGCTTTAAAAGTGTTCAATTCCAACATTGTCCCTCAATTGTTTCTGACACGAATTGCACAAGTTTATCTATAGAGAAACAACCATTTTCAAAGAGAAAATAATAAATATCTCTTCAGGTCTTGATCAGACAAAGCTTTTTAGGTCTACGCTGTGTATAAAACATGCCAATAGTGAGATTCGCTTGATATTGCGTCATTAGTCTCTAAAAATCAATTTATCTTATGAAAATTTTTGAAAACAATTTTTGACGCATTTCATTTCTAATTTTTTTATTTTTAAATATTTAAAGTTTCTAGAATTTGCAACTCTCCTTGTTTCAATTGATTTATTACGAGGGGGTTCAGATTTCGTTAACAAAGGTTTAAACAAAATAAAACCTTAAACTTCATAGATGAATAATTATTCAGAAAAAAAGATTCGTTGGCTATGCATGAAAAATATATCTCTAAGTTCGTAAAATTTCAACTGTTTGGATAAAAACTGAATTTTTTTCATTCACAATTTCAGTCTTTCAACCCTTTAAATATTAGATATACAATGGCAAAGATATAATGTGTTCAAACTTCAAATTTTTAAGATAAAAACTATCTGTTTCTTATTCACTATTTCATTTGTTTAACCCTCAGCTTACTAAAAATGATATCTAGATCTCTATAATAAAAGATTAATAAAAGTTTTTAGATAAAAGCTTAATTGTTTAGCAATCATTAAGAGTTCTGATTTAAACCTTTCTGTTTCAAGGTTCAGGTAGAAAAATAGGGATATCTCCCTCATCAATGATAAAGGTGTAAAGGGTATTGTTGGGAATGATACATGCAACTACATAAATAATCATAGGGTATCTGAAAATACGCTAAAATTCTTATAAAAGTTGAATTTGAATAAAGAAAAGAGACCCGGCTGGATGACGGTACAGTTGTTGGTACATACGGCTGGGTGGACGGTAATAACGTAGTACGGTACACAGACTATATAGCAGACAGCAGGGGATATCGAATACTTAATCAACGGAAATCTTATCTTACACACGAGGATGAAAACCCGCCAACAGAATCTTCAATTAACGATATCGTAGACGAACCCAAACGAAAAGTGATAAAACGACGTAGAGCTCGTAAACGAAATATCTATGAGGATAGTTCAGTAAGAACGATTAAGCGAAGGTTGGGCGTGGCAGAATTATCAAGTTTAAACTCTCATTCAACACCTGGGTTTGCTCAAGAGGTGTCAACACTTCAAACAACACCTGGGTTTACTCATGAGATGTCAACACTTCGAACTAACACTTTTCCGGAGGCGTTCAGAATCTCACAGGAACCATTGGCATTTCAGGAGACGTTGCCTTTTCAAGAGCCATTACTGCTTGCAAATCAATACCCTAGGCATTGAATTTGTTTTAAAATAAGTATTTTGAAGATCTATCAGTGGGGGGGGGGTGGTAATGAAATAAGTGATATGGGGATATAGAAAGAAAAAGTAGTTCATTAGAATCCCCAATCAAAGAAAATGGTTCATGCTAGCTATTTCTAGATTTGTATATATTGCCCCAAGGCCTTGGATTTGTTGACATATTTCTTATTTGTTGACATTATCAAAATTTCAGACATTTTGAATCCATTTGAAAACTATAATGTTCATGAATAAGATGATGTGTCTTTTGAAAAATTTTAGAATAGCCCAAAACTTTAAGAGTGGTGAAATGAGCCCAAAATCTACATTCATTGAATTCTAGATTAGAAAAAAAGAATTGAGTTTTTTCCTCAAAGTCAAATTTTATTTGCAACCAAATTGGAAACCCAGCGCTGCTTCGGTTAGTTACTAAAAGTTACTCCCGCCGTTTACCCGTACTTGAAACTAAATTTTCGTCATTTAAGTCGACCTACTTATCTTAGAATCTAAGAACCAAGCTAAGAACATTCCAGTGGGTCTCCCGAGTTCCCCAATCAAAATTTTAGGAAAATCGGTCCAGGGGTTCCCAAGTTATGATCGGACAAACAAACAACAACAGACAAACAGAGATACCAACTTTAAATATATATTTCGAACTATAGATCATTTAATTCATGGGTTGAAATATCTAAGGTCTACAATATATTGGGTTGAAAAGATAGAGGGATTAGAAGATCAGAGTTTGTGGCAAAGACTCAGTTCTTTGATAAACAAAACATTATCCTTTTTAGATTTAATGACGCACTTTTTCTTTAAATTCTTAATGTTTGTTAACCCATAGCTGCACTTAGAATTACACCTTTTTCATTTTCCACACAAACATTCTCTTTAACCCTATCTCTGCTGGGGTACTTGAAAACCAGGATATGCTGGGGGGGGGTCAACTTGACCCCCCCTCTAAATCCCATGTTTGATGTCTAAATATGACAAATGATACATCATTGGAAAGCTCTTGTGCTCTACTTTTAGAATCTGCAAAAAAAAATTGAAAATTTGCAAAAATTGAATTTTTTATCGCAAAATCCAGTGTAAAAATGTTTGCAAAATAAAATTTGTCTAAAAAATGAAAACTTATACATTTTTTAAAAGCCCTTGAACATGCCATTTCAAATATGCAAAAAATGTTGCAAAATTTTAAATAACCTGATTTTTAATCAAGAAAAACTAAAAATGTGCAAATTTCTTTTGACAGGTTGTTTGCAAAAATATTTGCACTTATTTTTCGCAAAACTTGTGTAATTCGTTTCCTTATGTCAAAGGCTTTCCAAAAAGCTAAATTTTATCAAAATTTGATAAGTGGAAATGGGTCAAAACAAAGATTTAGTTTGTTACAGGAAAAAGCAGTCATTCAAACAGTGTGCCTGAGGACTCAGGCAGTTAGTATTCAAGCCCGGTTTTAGGCCTAAAGGGAGGGCTTTGGGTATGTAGGAAAAGTCGGAAAATTTGACCCCCCCCCCCCTCCCAGCAGGAATAGGGTTAAAGACAAGATTTAGAATATAGATTTTTCTAAGGTGAAAAGAAAAATACTGTAAAACTCGTTAATTTTCTGCAAAATGACTGGCTTTTTCAATTTAAGCACGTTTACACAGAAACCTTGCTATAAATTAGAATTTAATCAATTTTTGCACACACACCCTGGATTCCCCCCCACCCTCCTCCTCAATGATACACAAGTCATTTCATGGCCTTAAAGTTTACATATTTAGGAGCTTACGTATTTGTTTAAGAAGATGCAATTCATCTTTTTATCAAAATATTCTGGATCATTGTCTATCTATCTATCTATCTATCTATATATCTATCTATCTATTTATCTATCTATCTATCTATCTATCTATCCATCTACCTATCTATCTATCTATCTTTCTATCTATCTATCTACCTATCTACCTATCTATCTATCTATTTATCTATCTCTCTTCTATCTATCTATATATCTATTTATCTATCTATCTATCTATATCTCCTTGTATCTTAATTTCTATATATGTATCTATCTATCTAAATATCTATCTATATATCTATATATCTACCTATCTATCTATACATACATATTAACTAATCTATATGCTCAACTTATCAAATATTCAAAAATAGGAATTTTTTGCTCGAAAAAGATATCCAAAGGTTTGACGATATAGATATCAGCTTGATTCAAATAAAATCCGAATGTTTGATATATATCTAATCATCTTGCCTCTTTTTTATCAGTAACCCTCTAATGTAACGCCAATATAAAATCATCCAACTTAAAGTCTGCCAATTTGAAACCTATTCCAGAAAGACGGGGTGTCAAAAACGTTTTCATTTCAGATGGAATGTATTTAATTTAAAACAGGACATTTTTTTTTCTCCATGATAATTTTTTTCGTAAATTTCATTTATCAAACATAAATGTTTTGCTTGTCTCTCTCTGTCTGTTTGTCCATTTGTACCTGATAAACGTCAAAACGGCTGAACCGATCCGGTCTCATTAATTTTGTGTGGGACCTCACACTTGACCCAAGGGAAGGTTTATGGATGCTTAAAATTACAAAAATGTGTTTCCAAAAGTTTTTGATTTTTGTAAAAATTTGAAAATTTTCTTATTGTTTTAAATTGTACATTAAAAGAAGATGCTCACAAATAGAGCCACAGCCAACGATTTAAAGTTGAAATAGAATAGTGGCGCGAAGCGCCCTAAAAGTCTTCTAAATATAAAACAAATTTAAGTATTGGCTGAATATAGTGTAGGAGATAGACCGTATATCCGACTACTAGGGGAGCACGCAATTATAACTGTTCCCAGGGAGAATGCAATTATAACTGTGAGGAAGGAGGATGATGAAAATTTAACATTTCCTGAACAGGAGGATGTTGCAATCAACAAAGTATCGGATGAGGATAATCTTAGGAATGTTGTTAAACATAAAATACAATATTTTAATATACAGGGTGTCCCACCAAACATGCCAGTTTGTAAATAGATTAGAATGTCTTCTTCCATAATTCTTTAAGTTGTTCAATACAAAAGACAATAATAAAAATATTATAAAGAAGTCATATTATAATAAAATTAACTTCAAATTTTCTAAACGAAATAAACTGCATAAAGCCTTTAATATCTAATACAGTGAAATGGAAGACTATATTGAAAACTATTTACCAACTGTTATGTTTCGTGGGACACCCTGTACTTATAGGGATCGACTGTTACTTAGTATATAAAAGGGTTTTAAATCGAATATATTTGATAATTAGAAAACTCAAAGAAAGCTTGATTAATGAATCAAATGAATTTACAGAAGTAACCATGCAATTTTGAAATAGAAAGACGACATTTAAGGAATCTATGTGTATTTTTTGTCGGTATAAAGCAAACTAATAAAAAATATGATTAACATCAAATTAAGTTCTGTGCGCCACCCCTCCAAAGTATTATTAACCAAGATAAAGGCAGATTTATCTAATATATCTCCTGCTCCGCCTACTCCCCGCCCACGCTCATCACGACCACGCCCTCAGTTGCCAAGCATAAGAAGAATTCTAAGAATGAGAAAGCGAATGAAGAATACAGATGACATTAATGTTTCAGAGAAAAATCTTATTTTAGAAAATGATTTTGATAAACTTGATAAACCTTTGTTTGAAGTCGATGAACCAACAAGTGATGTAAACGCTGTGTATTTCCCAGCTGTTTAATATCCACAAATAGTTTACAATCAAACAACAATGGCGCCAAATATTAACATTATGAAAATTAAAAAGAAAGATTGAGATATCCAAGTTTTTCAATCAGATTGATAATATTCAACTGTGGATCCAAAAGTGACGATATTTTATCTGTTTTCTAAATAGAAAGCGACGAAATCAGATAAAATATTTAAGGGTACCGTTGTGAATGGGGGCATGTATCTCTTTAAGCTTTAAATTTGCGCCGACGATCCCCTTTAAGGGGGTTTGGTCAAAACTGTCTTTTACCTTTACTTTCAGTCGAATTTGAGAAGAATCTACGATCTGATGTAGCTCACCCTGTATCCTTAATTGTTACAGCCTAACCCCTTTATCTAGCTTTAAATGTTTCTGCATGCCATGATTTTAACCTTTAACTATCTGATGTTAAACTCATCTAAGTTGTTTCTTAAAATATCAAGACTGTCAAAGAAAAAAGGCCCAAAAAAATACCGTATAGTACAAATTAGTGAGATAATGATATGTTATTGTTTTTGTTAAATATTAAAATACATTTTTAATTTTGTTATAATTTGTCTTATTTTATTTAATCAGAAGTTTAGAATATTATTTTCAAAACTATTAAATTTTAAATATTATTATCGGAATTGTTTAATCAGAAGTAAATTTAAATTATTATTTTAGGAATTATTATATCAGAAGTTTAGAAAATTATTTTCGGAATTGTTTGATTAAAAGTTTAGCATATTAATTTCGGAATTATCAAATCACAAGTTTAGAATATTATATTCGGAATCATTTATTTAGAAGTATAGCTTATCAATTTCGGAATTATTAAATCAGAAGTTTAGAAAATTGTTTCGGAATTATTTAATTAGAATTTTAGCATATTAATTTCGGAATTATTAAATCAGAAGTTCAGAAAATTATTTTCGGAATCATTTATTAAGAAGTATAGCTTATCAATTTCGGAATTATTAAATCAGAAGTTTAGAATATTATTCTCGAAATAAGCTAATTATTAATTAATCCCTTAGACAAATGAACCCCCCCCCAACAAGATCGGTATTTTATTTCTGTTTTTAATATTTTGAAAAATGTCTCTAAACTTTTTTTTATTTGAAATATCAAAGTTGCGTTTAACGTGTGAAAAAATAACATGTTATACAATATAAATTGCATGTTTAGATAATGATAATGAAATAACTGCACTTAATATATCACTAAAATCGAACTGAAAAAAAAGAAAACTAAATTTATGCGTTTTCCGTGATATTAGCGCATTAATCTAAACATTTAGAGAATAATGAATTTATCACTTAAAAGTAAAATAGTAAAACAATTGTGATATTCACATATATTTGAATTCTGTTTCAAATTCAAAGGACCGTTCACTTTTTGCAGAAAAATAAACTATTACCCTAAAATTATCCAAATAAGTTACCGGTCCCTTTAAATACCAAATTTTGATATTCAAAGTTTACATTAAAGGTTATATCTTGATCATATATCTATTCAAAAAAGAATTGAATCTTTGCCACAAACTCAAATTTTATAATTTCTCTATATTTGTAATTTGATGGTGTAAACCTTACATATTTCAATGTTCTCAGATTATTAGATCCAATAAAATAGGTTATCTGTGGCCGAATGTAAAGAATTTGAGCGGCGGTTTGAATTTAAGCCGCGGTTTGAATATGATTGGTTCCACTTAAAATTCTATCAAATGTTTCAAGATTTAAGCCGGCGCTTAATTTAAACCGGTTTTTGGCGGATTTAAACCCCGGCTCAAATTCTTTAAATTCCATCGCAGGTACTAGAATCGTTTTGGATCCAACAAAGTGCAAAGTTTAAAATATATAAGGTTTACAACTTTATGCTGCAAAGATATCACTGAGATCTGAGGCCGAATTTATAGAATTTGAGCCGCGGCTTAAATCCGCCAAAACCCGATTTAAATTAAGCGCCGGCTTAAACCTTGAAACATTTGATACAATTTTAAGTGGAACCAACCATATTAAGCCGCCGCTCAAATTCTTTAAATTCGGCCTCTGGATTCTGGACAACTCCATGATGGTGGTTAGATATCAAATATTTTGACAGTCTCAACTTTAAAGTCCTGCTTTGGTTTAACCTCACCAACTCACTTAAACTCTTTTGTAGCCTTGTATGCATTTCAAACTTGTGGTTGGTTCTAGCTTCTGTTTAAAAGGAGTAATTGGTAAAATCCTGGTCTATTCTGCGTGATACCTTACATATCTTGCAGTTTGCAGTGATTTATGAATTATAAAATTAAATTCTCAGTTTGTGAGCTAAAGCGCGTAAAACCTAAATATGATATACAATCGGATGTATAAAGATGGGTATCTACTTTGGGCTGTGAAGCAAATTTTGCGTATAATTGCGTATAATGAGTTAAAATTAGCTTCCGCTCTAGATCAAAAAGTTTAATATTACAAGACACAGCTACTATAATTATGATTTAACAAAAATGAATGCGGATTTACGAATTAAAGAAGTTGTATAGAAAAAATTAAAGGATAATAAAAGTTGTATAGAATAAATTAAAGGATAAATAAAAGTTGTATAGAAAAAAATAAAGGATGAAGAAAAGTTGTATAGAATAAATCAAAAGATAAATAAAAGTTGTATAAAATAAATTAACAAATAAATAAAAGTTTCATAGAATAAATAAAAGGATAAATAAAAATTGGTTGGTTTAAATTAAAGGGTAGAATAAAGTTGGTTGGGATAAATTACAGAATAAATAATAGTTGGTTAGAATAAATTAAAGGATAAATAAAAGTTGGTTTAGAAAAATTAAGGAATAAATTAAAATTGGTTAGGAAAAATTAAAGAATAAATAAAAGTTGGTTAGAATAAAATAAACATGAAGAAAGCTGGTTGGTTAGTATTAATTCATGGTTGGATTATGATGAATAAACGAATAAAAGGATGAATGTAAAGTGTATAAGATAATTGAATAATTAAATGAATGTAAAGTGAATGGGATAGGTGAATAAATGAATGAGTAAGATAATTGAATAAATGCATGAATGTAAAGTGAATAGGACGTATGAATAAATGAATGAATGTAAGGTGAATAGGATGAATTTAAAGTGAATATGAAAGATGAATAAATGAATGAATGTAAGGTGAATAGGATGAATTTAAAGTGAATAGGATAAATAAAAAAATGAATGAATGTAAAGTGAAAAGGATGAATTTAAAGTGAATAGGAAGGATGAATACATGAATGAATATAAGGTGAATTGGATGAATTTAAAGTGAATAGGATAAATGAATCAATGAATGAATGTGAAGTGAATAGGAAGGAAGAATGTAAAGTGAATAGGATAAATGAATAAATGAATGAATGTAAAGTGAAAAGGAAGGCTGAATAAATGAATGAATGATAAACAAAGCTTTTATATTTTAAGAATCATGAAACCGTGAAGATGTAATTCTGGGAAACAGTGTCTTCATTAAAATCAGTTACTAGTATATAGATAGATAGATAGATAGATAAATAGATAGATAGATAGATAGATAGATAGATAGATAGATAGATAGATAGATAGATAGATAGATAGATAGATAGATAGATAGATAGATAGATAGATAGATAGATAGATAGATAGATAGATAGATAGATAGATAGATAGATAGATAGATAGATAGACAGATAGATAGATAAGATAAATGTATAGAAAGATAGATAGATAAATAGATAGATAGATTGATAGATAGATAGATAGATAGATAGATAGATAGATAGATAGATAGATAAATAGATATATAGATAGATAGATAGATAGATAGATAGATAGATAGATAGATAGATAGATAGATAGATAGATATAGATAGATAGATAGATAGATAGAGAGATAGATATAGATAGATGGATAGATGGACAGATAGACAGATAGTTAGACAGATATATATGGATAGATAGACAAATAGACAGATAGACAGATAGATATGGATAGATGGATAGATAGATAGAATAGATAGATAGATATAATAGATAGATATATAGATCAACTACTATTCTAGCTGCTGTTGTGCTGTTGTGAGGTGTTTGGCCAGCAAGCTCCAACAGATTTCTCAGCACAGTATCATATACAAACAGATCTAGGACAGGACAGATTTTTCAGGTATCATATGCAGGGAGTAATGAATAGAAGGGAGATATAACTGACACGGTTCGCCCTGCCATATGATTATACATGCTTTGCAGACGGGTACTCCATTTGTATAAGAAATATGTGTCTTATGTACAATTACCGCGTATATACAATAACCTTTTCTGGATATGTCATATACAAATGGAGTACCCGTCTGCAAAGCATGTATAATCATGTGGTAGGGCGAACCGCGTCAGTTATATCTCCCTTCTATTCCTTACTCCCTGATCATATATCTATAGAGTAAATAAGTAAAGAATTGTCATCCCCCCCCCCCCTACAACACCACCCCTTCTTCCAATTTTCTGCCTGGGCTAGCTAAGGTATCTTATCCAGGGAATAAGATAAAATTTGGCTTATAGTGTTGACTTATATATATACATAATATATTACATGAATATTAAACTTATTTTTAAGCAAACAATCAAAAATAAACAAATTTACTCTCCCAGACTGTACAAATACCGAGATTATTATATACTGCATATACCTACAGTACACGCCTTCGGTTCTGTATTACTTCCACACACTCTTTTGGTACAGACACACATGCATGACGTTTCCGCCCCCTGATCTCATCATATTGCAGTTTAATTGATATACCACCGTAGAGGTCACTGAGTCTGTAAAAGCTGAAAGAAAACAGGATTCTGGTTGATTTATTTTACAGACTACATATATACATACATGTAAAACATTACGCTATTTTGTTTATGTCTTTGTAACTCTCAAATATAAGTTATTTTAGTACTTGACCCTAGTTGCGGTCAACTTATTTACCTGCACCTTTGTATATCTAAATATAGACAGTTTAACACAGATTCTTGTTATCTACGGATCATATATTCCTGTATAGGTAGATAGGAAAGAGTTTGTGATAGATTAAAGAAGTATATTTAAGCAAAATAAGTTTAAAGCGGAGATAATCATTTTGCTACATACATATAGTGTCAAATACAGTACACAATATCTCCCCGATGTAAAATTAAACCATTTTTTCAATATTATTTTAAAAAAATTTTTAATATTGTAAAATTCAATATTTCACCTTATTTACATTTTAAATCAGGTTCCAAACTCATACTGGACAGTACAGAAAGGAGAAGATTAACCCTGATGGTTCCGTGGAGGGGACATATGGTTGGGTCGACCCCAATGGAATTCTCAGGTATATTATAAAGTGATTTTTGCTACAGCTGGATATAAATTAAACCCCCCCCCCCCCTCATTTTTTAGGGTTTTTACTTCTTATTTTTAACCTTGCATACTTTTCGGAACTTGTTATCAAAATCATTTTTGGTAAAATAAACATGTCTTTGTTTAATTTTTACAAAGTTTTTACAAAGCTTTTGTCAAAAGTGAGAAATATAAAAATTATTA